TTCTGGTGCGTTCACGAGCATTGCGTGTCACGGGCATGGCAAAGGCTGCGCTTTCTGTGCTACTGTGCAACGTTAAGAGGTGCAGCCTAAGATCGGGTTCTATGAAGGTAAAAAGGCTGTAGAGAAATAAACACAATGCAGACTGCCAGATTCCTCAATGGTTTGGGTTTGGGAGCCTCTGTGAATTAAATTCAGCCAGTGTAATGAACAGAGTTAGATCTCCCAGGGAAAATAAATAATTATGGCTTTGTAACTTGCCTGATGTTTATCTTCTCCAAGCTTATTGTAGGAATTCGGGTAGTGCAAATGTGTACAGATCGTGTAGTTCAGGAGGTGGTATTTCAGACCGTCAATTGCACAGTTAATCCTTTTCATTAAAAATAACCTAATAGAACAAAACAAAACCAGAAATTAAAAAAAAAATAATAAAAAAGGTGTTTAGGTCAAAGCCGTGCAAACATGTCAAAAGTGATCCTAGACCAGCACAATCTATAGTCTTTACACAAGTCAAATAGAAAGATGACCAACATCACAGTTCTTCAGACACAGAATAGTTAGGGTTGGAAAGGACCTTAAGATCATCTAGTTCCAACCCCCCTGCCATGGGCAGGGACACCTCGCACTAAACCATGTCACCCAAGACTCCATCTCTCTGTGTCTATTCTGCAACTTCATTTTAAACACAAAGTTACCTGCTTTGTGTTTAAAATAGTTCAGGACAAAGGTATTAATAAGTTCTGTCAGCAGCTAGCTCATCCCGCTGCTTATAATGCTTTGTTTTCTTCCATTTACCAGTATTATCCATGAGTAAACTTTCTTAAACACTTTTTTAAACACTTAAAAGTGCTTATTTGCTGTAATAGGTTTAAAACTAACCCTCACCTTACTGGATTCCCAATTTGAAAGCATTAACCTAGAACCAGAAAGCTGTTACCATTCGTAACGAACACCAGCATTCACTAGCTCCATACAGTTCACTTCTAAGTCTGATGTGGGACAAATGATAGTTGAGAGTGCATGCAAGTGGTTAGTCCTGACCTAATGTATATCTTAAAATGTGTTTGTTAACTTCTGTCTATGTGTTAACATGCCATTTGGAATACTGATGTACCAGTAATAAAGATGTGATGCTTACCTTGTTTTCTGAACAGAACTAATACAGTATTTTGATGTATCACAGGTAAATTTTTCCATAACCTTATGGAGAAAAAGGACTTTGAAGCATGGCTTGATAACATTTCTATTACATTTCTTTCTCTGACGGACTTGCAGAAAAATGAAACTCTGGATCACCTGATTAGCTTGAGTGGAGCAGTCCAGCTCAGGCACCTCTCCAATAATCTAGAGATTCTCCTCAAGAGGGACTTCCTCAAACTTCTTCCATTGGAGCTTAGTTTTTATCTGTTAAAATGGCTTGATCCTCAGACCTTACTCACATGTTGCCTCGTCTCTAAGCAGTGGAACAAGGTTATAAGTGCCTGTACAGAGGTGTGGCAGACTGCATGTAAGAATTTGGGTTGGCAAATAGATGACTCTGTTCAGGATCCTCTACATTGGAAGAAGGTTTACCTAAAGGCTATTTTAAGGATGAAGCAACTGAAGGACCACGAAGCCTTTGAGACATCCTCTTTAATCGGACACAGTGCCAGAGTATATGCACTTTACTATAAGGATGGACTTCTGTGTACAGGTAGGAAGGACAGAAAACTTGGAGTCTTACAATTCCTTGTTTTTTCCCCTCCCCATATGATAATGACAATTTACTTTACCACATTATTTTTGTAGTGCCAACACAAGTTAAGATGAAGCAACATTACTTCTTTTTTTCCCCTGTTTCTGTAACCCCTGGCACACCAACAGACCTATTAGTTTCTTTAATAGGGAAAAAAAAGGAAACCAATTTCTTTGTTGGTTAAAAAACCAGTAACAGCAGGTTTCATGCTTCAGATTTGAGAAGTACAGATACATTAGTTCTTAGAGGATAACTTCCAGTTAAAGGAACCTTGTTTGGGCTTATGTGATCATTGCAGCCTCCTAAAGTGTGGCAGGAAAAGGCTGTTTTCTTCCTTGAAACAAGACAGTTTCTCTGATACAGTCTTTAAGCACTTGCAGTTTTTAACAAATGAGCTTATATGAAGACCTGTAAACTTGATTTAAACTTGCCTCTAGTCTGACTTGCACTTTGTAATGATAATTTCAGCTTCCTTCCTGAAGACAGCAGACTTTCAAGATTTCAGTTTGAACTTAAGAATACAGCCAGAACAAATACAAAACCTTACATATGAAAGAACAGTAACAAAGTTATGCTGCCAGTTATGCTCTCTTTTCAAAAAAGGAAGGAAGCTTTGGGGACAGGAACCTGGCAGGTGATGGGGCTTGGTATTCACCTGCTGTCTTTTGAGATTTGGTGGCCTCCTTTCCTACCTGAAAGAAACTAAAGCTTGCAGTATAATCAGTGGCTCTGCAAAGCTGAGTGATGTGTCATGTAAAACTTCTGTGTGCCTGTTTCAGTAGGTACTAACCAGAGGCAGTGCTGAAATCTACGGAAGGTGCTAAAAGGGTGTGAGGGAAGTGGAAGGCCAGACATCTGGCAACTTAATTAACACGAAAAGAAGAGGCTTTGCTCTAGTGCTGAGACTTAAAACTAGGGCTTGTTCCTCATTCAGGCAGCTTGGAAGTACTGTTTAATGAGAAGAATGTTCAGCAAGGGGAAGGGCAAAGCCCTGCACCTGAGGAGGGCAGAAAAGGACCGGGGAGTCCTGAGCACTCTAGTCCTCAGCACTAGTGAGGCCGCACCTGGAGTACTCTGTCCAGTTCTGGACTAGAGGGGAGACATGGGCACACTGGAGAGTCCAGCAGAGGGCCATGAAGAAGGGACTGGAGCATCTTTCATATGAAGAAAGGCTAAAAGAGCTGGGTCTTGTTATCCTAAAGAAGAGGGGGCTCAGGGAGGATCTTATCAATGTTCATAAATTCGTGAAGTGAGGGTGCAGAGAAAGAGGAGGCAGGCTCTTTGCAGTGGTGCCCAGTGAGGGGACAAGAGGCAGTGGACATTAACTGAAACACAGGAGGTTCCCTCTAAAATGCTTTTTTTACTGTGATGGTGATTGAGCACAGGTTGCCCAGGGAGATGGTGGAGCATCCATCCTTGGACATACTCAAAAGCCATCTAGTCATGGTCCTGGGCAACCAGTTTGGGTAGGGAGGGTTGGAAGAGTTGACCTCTAGAGGTCACTTCCAACCATAACCATTCTGTGATTCTATGAAAATTTGAGACAAATGTGAAAGATGAGTATAGGAGTAGAAATACTGTTTACTCTTTGTTTTCAATTACCCTGTTCTTTTATATTCTAGGATCAGATGACTTGTCTGCAAAACTGTGGGATGTAAGCACAGGACAGTGCATATATGGTATCCAGACACACACTTGTGCTGCAGTGAAGTTTGATGAACAAAAGCTTGTAACTGGATCTTTTGATAACACAGTAGCCTGTTGGGAATGGAGCTCTGGGGCAAAGACACAGCATTTTAGAGGACATACTGGTGCAGGTATGTTGAGCTTTTCAGTTTGTAATTTCACCAGTCAAGTAACATACATCATCATCATCAAACAGATTGTAACTTAAGTTAGCTCTTTGCACAATACCTTTCTCTTTCAGGCTCTGTCCCAAGTCTGTATTTGCATTTCCCTCATAATTAACTTCTCTGTCCTCTACTGTAAATCATCTTCAACTCGGCTGTAGGTCTGTTCTCCCCTGTGAGTAATGAGATACATCGAATGTACTAATCCTGCTGGAACTGATTTACTAGAACTCTTAAAATAGGAGCTATCTTATATTATGCTTTGCTATAATCCAACCATGAAGGATCCATTGATGTACATACTCTTAATTTGGACAAAAATCAGTAATTTTGCAATGGAAGCTTAGGAATTCAGAGCAACCATTCATGTCTACAGTTCAAGAACCATAGTTAAAGCTGCAATGGGATATGAATTTGAAGGCTACTAAATTCATATAGAGGCTACTAGTTAATGTCTCGCAGAAAACCGTATGCACAGAGTCTTGTCTTCCTCATTCAGTACCCTCTTTGCTTGTAGTTTTTAGTGTGGATTACAATGATGAACTTGATATTCTGGTCAGTGGCTCTGCAGACTTCACTGTGAAAGTATGGGCCTTATCAACAGGAACGTGCCTGAACACCCTCACTGGACACACAGAATGGGTCACTAAGGTGGGAATAATGATTTTTAATTAATCTTGCAACACATTTGCAATAGATTTGTAACATGTTCTAAGCTTCTGTATCCTAATCCTAACCCTGCACGTAGGTGTAGAATCTCTAGAACCTCAGGAAATACTGGAATATACAGCATAAAAACCCCTGAAAGAAGCTGTAATTAAACCTTTCAGACCACTGAAGATATTTCTAGTTCAAAGCAGGTAGAATAACATTAGGAATCAGTGCTTGGTTCAAAGACTGAGTAAGAACAACGGGTCTGAAAAAAAGCTACTTTAAAAATGATACAGAAAAACTAAATTATCTTGATCACCACAGTCTGAGCATGAAAAGTGTTGTGAAGTCAAGAAACAGTATTTTTCTTCCGAGTATTTTAGAACTGGAAGATGCGGGGGTCATTCTAAAGGTGAAGTATGTACTTTTGCTTATAAATGAAGTAAGCTGTCACCAGTAGGAACAAGAAAAGCGTAAGCTGTAGGTTCCTTTCAGTTGCTAAAAGTATTATAATTGCCTTTATACAAAAGTACAGAATGCAGGTTGTCAATGAAGTGAAAAATGCAAACAAAAGTTTGGTTATTTAACAGCATCAACATAAATCATTACATCCTTCAATTACAGGTAGTTTTGCAGAAGTGCAAAGTCAAATCTCTTATGCATAGTCCTGGGGATTATATTCTTCTAAGTGCAGATAAGTATGAAATCAAGGTGTGTACCATATCTCATACATACATCATTTCACTACCTAGAGAAATGCTCAAGTGCTTCACTGAAGTTTACAAATAATATAAAGCTTTATTTTCTCCTACATTCCCTGCTTGTAGAGTTATGTACAAGATATGCAGCTCTTTGGAAGCTACCTTCTCAATGCTTTCCTTCACATTTAGATTTAAATCATAGCTCTACATGAATGGTAATGCAATAAATAAGTGCTTTCAGTGCATGCTTAATGTGCTAACTTGACAGCAAAGCACTTAACTGCAAGTACTGTTACAGCTGGGGACTTTTGGGTGGGAGAGTGTTGTAGTTCATGGCTATAGATGTGCTTCACAACTGAAACACATTTTTGTCCAATTGGATGGCTGATTTGTTCTTTGAAGTGCCCATTTTCACTGGGGTTTTTTTAGGCTAGAAACACCAAACACTGCAACAATACTGTAAGATGAGTCACTTACAGGATTGATGTTCCTGCCTAGAGGAAACAAGTATTTCTGAAGAAACATGCACGCATTTACCTGATGCTTAAAGACAGACTGGGACGCTTGCTCTGTTTGTGTAATGGTTTATAATGTGCATGTTTTATGGCCTTAAACTGTGTGTTTTAATTGTAGATTTGGCCTATTGGAAGGGAAATAAACTGCAAATGCTTAAAAACACTGTCTGTTTCTGAGGATCGCAGCATCTGCTTACAGCCCAGGCTACACTTTGATGGCAAATACATCGTGTGCAGTTCAGCCCTAGGATTATACCAGTGGGACTTTGCCAGCTACGACATTCTCAGGTAAATCGTCCAGTTTAAGACTTAGTCTTCTTTAAGTAAGTAGAAGAATATGTATTGATTTAATATCTCTTTATCTAAATAAGCAGAACATACTAGTTTTAATAACTTTAGATATAGGCTGAAAGAATCTTGATGTAAATTCTGTAAACATCTTTCCTTACACATATTACCAGGTTTAATTCTAATTTACCATCTGTTAATATGATGTTGTCTTGTTTTCTAGGGTTATCAAGCCTCCTGACTTCTCAAATGTTTCCTTGCTGGGCTTTGGAGAGATATTTGCTCTACTGTTTGATAACAGATACCTGTATATAATGGACTTGAGGACAGAAAAACTGATAAGCCGCTGGCCTCTACCAGAGTATAGAAAATCAAAGAGAGGTTCAAGCTTTTTGGCTGGCGAAATGTCTTGGTTAAATGGGCTAAATGGACAAAATGATATGGGCTTGGTTTTTGCCACCAGTATGCCAGACCATAGTATCCATTTGGTGTTATGGAAAGAACATGGCTGAGACGCTCCCATGTGCAGCATCTTCAGGAACCTATGGACTATCAGCAGCGTGTCCATAAAATGAGACTTTGCATGAACCAAAGTTGCACACCTAATGGTATCATCATGCAATGCACAATCATTTACTTTTATTTGGGCATTTGGGAATGGGTTGTTTTGGACATAACGCAATACAGCATGCCAACAGTATTCACCACAAAATTCTGTCTGTACTCATGTTTAAACATACCTATTTGGGCTCTGAAGCATAGCTTGTAACATTTAAACCATTCAAATCCACCATCAAGATTGAAATGAAGTAGTACTTGACCTGACTTCTGATCTATTTTTTGATGTTGAAACAGAAGGTGAAGCTACTATTTTAGAACCATAGGCTTGTGTACATGTAACAGCAAATACTGGTTACAGTGCATGGCTGCTTACTGCAAACGGGAAGATAGCAAACCCTTTCTCTCTTCCAGTATCCTTCTCTTCAAAATGTTTTTTCCTAATGATAGCTTTAAATACTTAGCCTTTGAAATAAAGGAATCAAGTGAGTCCTTTAACTAGGATCAGATGCTAACAATAATAATTAAGTTTGGGAACATGTCAGTATGAACCCTCCTCGGCGAGAATGAGCCACCTTTTCATCTATCTGATAGAGCTCACCATCACAATTAACTTCAGAGAACCTCTGACAGTATTCATCACATTTGCTGATGGTAACTCAGAATGGCCTGACCAGTATTTCATAGGCCACATTTCCTTTAGTTTGTGCAAGAACATGATTTAGTTCACAGGGAGGTAGAAATCTAATGAATGGGAAGATGATGTTCAATCTCTACAGTGTCACTCTCTTATACTAAATGATGTCTAGCAGCCATTCATTCTTTCCAGATGTTACATTTAAGATAATCCTGCACTTCAAGTAGTTGCTACATCTAGATTTGGAAAGTGGGGACAAATAACAGTGAGAATGCCACATCTCTTGGGGAAAACAAGAAGTAAAAGTCTAAAGAAAAGTGTTAAGAGTAGGAAAAGGTCTTTTGCTTTGATCGTCATAGGAGACCTGATGTACACACGAGTTAACTATTGAGTAGCAAATGCCTATCCACATACTTTTGTGGTATTTGACATGTACTTAAAAGCTGTATCTATGACAACACCTGGTTTAGAAATGCTTTAGGTTGGTTTCCCCTCCCCCCTTACAATAAAATATCCCCTTAATGTCTTTTTTTTTTTGTTTCCACAAGTTGAAAACACGAGTTTTCATGAAGATTGGCTCAAATCCTTGAAAAGCTGAAGCTGCCTGAACTGCCTGGCATTACTGTCGTTAGTGTGATGTGTTTTTTTCTTCCCACTATCCAAGGAAACCTAATTCCATACTTAGTACTGAACAAAGGCCAAGGTTCCCAACTGTATACAGTACAAATTACACCAGTGAAAGGGAAATTTTTATAGGCAAGAGTCAGCATTTGAGTGATGCAGTCGGAATTGTACGAAGTCACAGTAGAGCAGTGTCTCTGGAGGACAGTGCTAGTCGTCAGTAACTGGTTTTCCACCTTCATTCATATAAACTTACTTTTCAAATGCATTTGTAGTCAAGGATTTTACCAACTTGAAGCTGAATTCACAGCCTTCACTGACTGGGGCACACATGAGCTTTTGTTTTCTCAGTCAAAAGTGAAAGCTTACATGAAACAGCTTTCAATAATTTCTCTTGAAACCCAGTGCTCATTCTTAATGTGAGTGTAACTCTACTGTGTATGGTGTGTGCAGTAACTCAGCTAACTCTGAAGGAGCCATGTGATGACAGACCACCTGTAAAACATTGCAAACCACTTAATGGAAGTGTTCTTTAGGGGCTGCAACTGGTTCATTACTTTAATAGTGATCTTTATGGTGCAGTTTCTCAGCAAATTTCCAACAATACTGATTTATTTGGAGGGGAAGGAGAAACCATGGAAAGGGGAAGCAATCAATATGCAAGAGCACAGAGAATCCTACTTCTGAGGGTCGCAACAAACTGGACAAGTAGGCTTACAGACTTCTCACGAAGTTCAACCAAAGCAACTCCTTCACCTGAGTCACAGTCATCCCACACAACAGGCAGGTTGGAGCCAACTAGATGGAAATCAGGTTTACAGGGAAGGACCTGGGAATGCTATTGCACAACAAATTTAGCAATATGCCCTTGTGACAAAGGTGGCCAACTATACTGAGCTGTACTAACACGTACGTAGCTAGGCATTCAAGAGAAGGGATTATTCACCCCTGTTCTGTGCTCAAAGCCACATCCAAGTCCAATGTTGTGTTCCCCAGTACAAAACACTGGCACACTGGAGCAAGTCCAGTGAGAGGCCGCAGAGAGGCAAAGCACAAGGGATCTGAGAGCTGAATTCATCTTTCCAAAGAGAATGGTGGGAAGGGAAGGAGGGAAGGTGGTGGGTATAGGGTGGGGAAGCATTATCCAGAGAATGCAAACAAAAAACCATGACGAGAAGCATCCATACACACAAAACTGCTCTGCTACCCCTTTAGCTGTACAAATGAAGTTGTAGCCTGTTGCATAGCAGCTGATGATTGTTATAAACACAATTAGCAAACAGTTACTTACAGACTGTCTTTTGAAGACTTCCAAGTAAAAGTTCCACTGGACATTTGCAAGGTAATGATACCAACCCACTAATGACAGCTCAAAGGAAACGAATGGAAGCATGAAGCTGGTGTAGAAATTAAAACAAGCATAGCTGCCCTGACACACACTTCTCTGTCACGTACTAGTATCAGACTACAACTGCCCCCCATGTCCCTTCATAGGGAGGTTCCAATACATCACCCCATCAGTACAATGAACACAGCATTTAGAAAACAGAAAAAATATGACTGAAATTGTGAAACTACAGTGAGCAAAGGTGTTTTGTTTGCTTTTCTTTCCTTCTGACCCTTTGGCAGAAGCTAGCCATTACTTGGCACTGTTTCTAGATAAGAGTTGGAAAAGATACAGCTTCCCTACCCTTACACCTACATAAGGAAGCAATACAACTTAACTTACCAGTCACAGGAAGGTCTAAAATCCACCTGATGTCTAATTTTCACAAAGAAACAGTTTGTTATGAGGTTTCAAAGTCATAGAAAAAGAAAATATGCACTGTAAGTAGTTGTTCATCCGTCTTTCCACCTGGAAACAGCCACCTTTTCAGTTCACAGTTTATTCAACATCTATCTGTAGCCCTTGCTTCTGTTTTAAAGCTTTCCAACACAAATCAGCACTTATCACTTAAGTAATTCACAACAGCTGTGGGTAACAAGAGAGATCACCATTCTTCTTAGTATTACATGTGCCAAAGCCCCAGCTGAGCAGCCATTTGGACCAGCAAAACTGCAACAGCTTAGTGTTACAATACATCACCACTTGAACAAACACGAGTTCCAAGAATATAAAAGGTTCTTTTTCTTACAGTGGAAACTGGTAGATTTTGCTCAATGATTTTCACAATGTATTAGTTTGCCTTTGGCTCAAGTTGGCACATACAAATTCTGAACCCAAAACTGCAAGAATTAAACATTAATACTAATGACCATAGTTGTATTTTTTGTACATAGGTTGAAAGCTCTGTACAGTCTTCTGCATTATTTGAATCAGTTGAAAAATACTGATTTTTTATTTTATTTTTGGAATTGAAAATAACCTCATTTTACATTTTTCAGAAGAAATATCATCTGCATTGATGCTTGGTATCATTAAATGAATCATGGCTCTGCTACGAGTTCCTACTTCCCTTAAGAAGAAATACCTCTAACAAGTGACAGCTCCAGTGCTATAGCTGATGGGGTTTATTATCCTGCCTTTGTGATTATAATGAGTTACAGTGTTAATGCTCTTCACCTGGGAGATGCTGTCCCAAGCCACTTTTTAATAGGCACCACTAAGCAGAGCTGTATTTTGTTAACCACCAAGTCCTTCAGAGACACAACCAAAAACCAATTCATTCCTTCTTCAGGAAGTTTACAGGTTCATGTACAAGTTAAAACATATGAGGATGGGAACAGAAAAAGAGAGAAAGCTGGAAACTGGTAAATTAAATTTCAGATTTCTGCATGGACACTTCCTAGGCCTTGAATAATGCCCTTTCATAGTTACAGGCATATAAAAGAGCTATCCTCTAACTATGCCTCAGCTCCCACATCTTACAAGGTTGCAGTAGAGACTTTCCCTGAGGAACTCAATTATTTTAGTCAGCACTTGATCACTGTGGACTCTTACAAGGTACCATGCCTCAGTTCACAAATCAAATGCATTTATCTTTCTACAACACATTAAAGGGCTGTTATTCTAAATCTCTACAAGAGTTAAACTTCACATGGAAGTGATTTTTATTTAATGATCTTTATGATATCCTCTGCCTCCACATGATTCAGGCAGCTCTTCGTGTTCCCTCCTTATAAGCAAGGTTTCACTTTTGAGCTTCCAGTACAGTTTGATATAGCACCTTGTTAACATTCATGATTAATGACGAGTTGTATCTCCACAGTGTCGTATCCCTGATGAGGGATTCTCTGGGAAGGTTTCCTTGAAGGGGCATCCGACAGTGATAAACGAGGGCAACATCCATGGGAACATTCACACTGTTCCCATAAGCGTGTAGGACAGAGTGGACTGACGTCTGAATCACTTTTCGTGGATCAACTATCATTTTCTTGGGATTTATTACATTTTTCCTATCAGGCTCCCTGTGAACGTGGTTTAATATGTTAACACCTGGCACAGTATTCCAGGATGAGATGTTGAATGTGGGAGTAGACACGGACTCTGGGAAGATATGGTTCTCAAAGAGGAAAACGGCAGTCCCTGGGTTCTGCTCCTGCAGACTGCTCATCATGGTTTTCCAGTCCGGGTGCTTAAGGGGAAGAATTATTTCATCAGCATCATTAAGAACCACAAACTTGCTCCTCTGCATGTTCCGGTATATACAGTCATTTAGAGCTGTGATTTGTCCATAGTAGCCAATGTGTGTTCCATCATGTATGAAATACCATTCAGAAGAAACCTTGAGGTGCAAGTTTATTGGCCAGGGAATTATCTCTACAGTTCCTTCTTCCATATAAAACCTCAAGACTTTCTCCATCAGGTGGCTGCAGTTGTTCTTATAGATCACCACTTTCTGTACCCCAAGAATCTTGTACATCTCCATGCTCTGTATAAACTGCAAGACATTGTTGTAGTGGCCAAACATGGCAGAGATGCACACGGTGAAGTCAACAGGGAAGGGCTCAGCCTTGCGGTTTCTGATTTCAAAGCT